GTGTCACTGACCACATGAGGAAAAATACAAAAAAAACCCACATGTAAGACAGAAACTGCTGCTTCTACTGAAGCTGTTATCAACCTGTTCACTTCTGCTGAGGTCCAGATCAACTTCTGGTCAACGAGTGGTCAGGCATGCCTTGTTATCAGTACTTGTACTTTAAGACCAATATTTATGTTGTGTCCATTTGTATCTTTATTTTCCTTTCAATCACCTCCTGCACTAGAGTGACAGGTTTTGTATGGCCATCCTGCTAATATGGAGCAAAGAATACTGGCCTTGAACAGAGCAGTGCCCTGGGACCATAGAATTACATGGTGAGTTGAGGTTTGATCCAGAGACTTCGCTTCTGCTTCAGTTCAACCATATCACCTACAGAAGACCGACTGATGACACTGAGGTCACAGCGTGATAGAGCTTGGTCCGTGTACGTTGCGGCCATCCAATTTCCATTTTGAATTAAAAAATTCAAAAAACAGAAAATGACCTGTATTTCATTTTTCGTTTTAAAATCAACGAACTGGCTTTCCAAAATGAAATTTGGAATTGAGAAAAAAAATTGCTTCTTTTCCATCCCCCAGTTTGCCTTGGGGTCTTTCAATTACCCAGAAGGGTAATTTGGGAGGTGTTAAATTAGGGTAAGCTTTCACCAAACACAAGAGCACAAACTTTACAGCAATGTACTATGTACAGTACATACTATCAGTGACGGTGAGGTTGATGGCTGGTGACTTCTCTGGAGTCAGATTTACAATTGTTAGAACCGAAAAGAGCATCTTATTTCACTATTCATCCAACATCATCACCTGGTAATGCTTCATATCCATCAGCATTCCTTTGTCAATGACACTGACAACAACGTTTCTTTATACAAATGGACAGAGCACCCTTGTGTCTAAGAAATTCAGATTTACTGTAAACAAATTCAAGTATAGAGATGAGTGCAGCACAAGTTTAATTTTGACCTTCAGTAAAAAAAAAAATCACTTTTTTTCAACAATTCTGGTGCTTTAATAAACAACCGTTTAACAACCGTAGACAACCGTTGTGTCTATCAATTTGATAAGAAAAAAATATTTTAGGCCAAAAATTTAGTTATCAAACACTTAATTTTTTTTTACTTACTCCCATCTTATTTTAAAAAAAACAAAACAAACAAAACCATTTTTAGCCTTACCCTTACTTATACATGAAGTCCACGGTTGTATCTCTCGGTTTTCCCTCAACTTATCATTGTGGACGATGTTTAGTGTACAAAGAACGTTTCTTTATACAAATGGACAGAGCACCCTTGTGTCTAAGAAATTCAGATTTATTGTAAACAAATTAAAGTATATGCTCATGTCTGCTGAGGCTTCGTTGTAAATGTTTCAGGTCACAGTATCCTGAGTTAGTCCAGACGTTGTCACACAATGACAATAAAAAAGCAAGAAAAACAGTAATGGCGGTTTCTTACGGGACAGACACACAGCCAGTCTTTTCGTTTGTACCATTACATTTTAGAAGAACGACTCTTCTGTCCCGTAGTTTGAAGCTAACCTTTTAGCTCCGGCGTTGGTCTTCCATCACTTATCTTCTGTTTAGACCGGAAGTCCAGTTTTGAGAAATATTTCCGTCTTGAAATACAATCCATAGTCAGTCAAGATCGGGCAGAGCATAGAAAACGCTGTTCTTCTTCTACTACTGGCTCTAGCTTGGCGTCGACTTTCAGTTCACGTACGACCCCTTGAGGTGAGGCAGAGTACTGTTTGCCTCCCCTGCTGACTTTTCTCTGCACTTATTGGCTGAGGAATAGAAACAGGCAACGTCATGTGACCAAGTTTGTATTGGATCGTGCAGTCAGAAGTGAGAGACAGCTCGTCGCTGCCTCACCTGGGATTTTTGCTCTGTATTCGAACGCGAAATACTCGAATTCGGCGATGTTTACTAATGAAGTGTCAGAAATGTGAAGAGTCACACTGAAAATGCATCTTTAACACAGATCAGTGGAAAATAATAATATTTATTTTATATTCGTTTCTTTTCTTATCATGATGGCAGGAGAGGCACTGCCTGTCCATTGTACCATTTACTATAATGCGTGCTCACATTGAGCCTATCTTTTGAATAATTGTTTGTTTGTTGAGTTAATTCTGGGTTAATTTTAATCCAATGTGAATTAAGTCACAGGTTGTTAATTCAGATTATGCAGTTTGACTGTATTTATCATGTCAGCTTTT